TCGGTCCATCCGGGCGCCCGTGCGCGGCCGGCGCTGCAGGCGGGACGCGCATCGCGGCCGAGCCTCCCCCGGCTCCGCTCGGCATTCCCGCGGGATCAGCGCGCGCTTCGGAAGGAAACCCGGCGCGCAGCGGCGCTCGGCGCCCTCGTACTGACCTGCGCCCCGTCCGCCTCCGTCTTCAGCAGGTCCGACGAGGAGAGCTGGTTGCAGTAGAGGCCCGCGGGTCGCAGCGCCGCGTCGTTGACCTGGGGCGAAGCGAGAGCGCGGCTCAGCCGCCGGCTCCAGCCTCCACGCCGCCGTCCCCGGGATGGCGCGCGGAGCCGCCGGCACCACTGACCTGCTCCGAGCACATGGAGTTCATGGCAGGCATCTGCAGTGAGTTCATCTGCATCTGCGCCGTCATGGGGTTCATGTTCTGCACGCCGCCGGCGCTGCCGCCCGCCATGGACACGGTGATGCTCATGTTGTTGTACATGCCCTGCTGCGCCGGCGCCGCCTGGCTCTGCCCGGCCTGGCCGAACACGCTGCCGGGCGGGAAGGGAGGGAAAGTCGGGATTACGGCCGGCAAGGGGATGACACGCACATCGAGCGGCCTGGGGGCCCTTCTTGCAGTGTCCACGTGGTCCTAAACGCCCTGCTCCGGACCCTGTCCCGCGGGGACGTGTTGGGGTTATGGATATGGGGCTGGGCTGGAGCGATGCGGCCTCCTGCCCCAAGGCCTCGCTGGAGGCCTCCTCCACGCGGCCCTCCCGAGCTCCCTCCCGACCTTCCCAGCGTCCGTTCTGATGGGTGATGCTGCTCCCGTTCTGATGGGTGATGCTGCTCCCACATATCCCAAGCCGCAGGTGTCCCCATGTGGAGCACCGGCCCATGCCAGCCGTGAGAAGGGGAGCACCATGCATGGGAGGCCATGGGGAGCACCATACACAGGAGGCCATGGAAGCATCCTCCCGCTTTGCCCTCCAACACGAGCCCGCGTGGGGAGGACAAGGTGACGCTGCCCATTTGCTAGCCCAGCTCGGAGCCAGGCAAGTCCCTGCTCAAGAGACCTACTCGGGCCACTGGTCTGCAAACCAGGTCACCTTCACCTAGTCAAACCAACGTGTGGGGCTTCTGGAGGTCATGGCATGAGAAGAGGGTTGGGGACTGGCACAGGACCTAGCACATGGTCCCACTAACAGTCTAGGAGGTGATGAGCACCACGGGTCACCTTCACTGTATGGGCTCTCTGCACATGCATGTGTGTGTGGAACTGCATGAGCACATGTGGTCCTGCATGAGTGTGCGGGTCCTGCATCACTGAGTGGTCCTGTAGGACYGTGAGTGGTTCTGCAGGAGTGTGTGTGGTTCTGGATGACCATGCATGGTCCTACACAAGTGTGTGTGGTCCTGCATGAYGGCACGTGGTCCTACAAGAGGGTATGTGATCCTGCATGACCATGTGTGGTCCTACATGAGTGTGCACGGTCCTGCATGAGTGTGCATGGTCCTACAWGAGTATGTGTGATCCTGCATGACCATGTGTGGTCCTGCATGAGTGTGCGTGGTCCTACATAAGTGCGTATGGTCTTGCACGACGGCATATGATCCTACATGAATGTGTATGATCCTGCATGAGTGTGTGTGATCCTGCATGAGTGTACATGGTCCTACATGTGTGTGTGTTGTCCTGCATGATGGCACGTGGTCCTGCATGAGCATGCATGATCCTGCATGAGTGTGCGTGGTCCTGCATGATGGCATGTGGTCCTACGTGAGTATGTGTGATCCTGCATGAGCATGTGTGGTTCTGCATGATGGCGTGTGGTCCTCTACGAGGGCATGGTCCTGCATGAG